TCAAAGAGATAAACCCATAACAAAAATCCCTAATTTTTTTGTATTCTAAAATCTACTGCTCTGCATATTTCTCTATAGTGTACCCTCAACTGAAAGTAATGCTGTAAGAGTCACAATGCATTAAAATGTGCAAATAAGGGGACTTAATATTTTTAAAATACACACACACAAAAAAAACCCCTCAAAAAATACCTCAGAGCCGGAAGCTATTCTTCTATATAAACAAACAAAATTTCTAGATTATTTGCTGGGGTCAGTCTATTTTAAACCTACCTTTCTATACTGTCTGTATTATACAACTCAGAATGATGTTTCTAAGATGATGAAAAAATCTTCATCAAGGAAAGATTCAATCATGTCCTCTGTACTGTACTTATTGTTTCATAGAAGAGATTAAACACATTAGGTAAATTTTCAACAAGAAAACTGAAAACAGAAAATTTTCCTTTTATCAACATTAAATTTAATTACTAGCTAATACTAGTTGAGACTTAACTGTATCAGCTACATTTTGGAAATATGAAGACTAACATATATTTGTAAGAGCACAACTAAATGTTCACCTTACATCGCTTTTTCCCCCCCTCAGAAGGCCTAGCAATCTTTCCCCATGCTAACTATCCCTAAACTTGTTTTTCCACAGATCTACCCTCCATCATCAGTGAGTCCTCAAAAAGGTTTGTTTCAGGAAGGTCACTGTCAATTCTCCCAATATCCATCTTATCTCTTTCAGATTATACCTTGGTTCTGTTGTTTTCCCACAAACTGCTGACATTAAAACAAAACAGGATTTAATACTGTGTTATATAGCAGGGTACATCGAAATCACTTGGAGGGACTGTTAAAACAGACTGCTGGGCCCCACCCTCAGTTTCTGATTCAGAAGGTTGGGTTGGGGAGCAGTCATTTGCACTGCTGAGAAATTCCTACCTGATAATGATGGTGCTGCTCCAGGGACATACTTTTTAGAGGGTTCTAGATCTGACCTGCCATTATAGTAATACTAATGACACATGGTAATCTGCATTGGTTAAAACTCAAAAAAATTAAAACTTCAGTTTCTCAGTAGCACAAGCCACATTTTAAATGCTTCAAATCCACGTAGTAGTTACTGTATTGGAGAGATATAAAGCATTTCCATCATCTCAGAAAGTTTTACAGAACAGCAGTGTTCTAGATAATTGATCCACCACCCTTCCTAACACTTCAATCCATTCAAACTCTGGGTATTCAACCTTATGAAACCTATGCAAAAAGCAAACATCGGGATGCCTGGGTGGCTCAGTCAGTTAAGCATCTGACTCTTGATTTTAGCTCAGGTCATGGTAATGATCTTGCGGTCCTGGGACTGAGCCCTGTGTCAGGTTCTGAGCTCAGTGCAGAGTCTGCTTGGAATTCTCTCTCCCTCTGCCCCTCCCATGCTTGTTCCCTCTTTCTCTTTCTCTCAAATAAATAAATAAATAGATAGATAAACAAATAAAAGCAAATGTCACTATTACATATTCCTGGGACAATTTTTACCTCCCAGGCATATTCAGAAAATGACACCCTGATACTGGTAAAAACACCAGCTCGGGAGTCAGGCAGATCTCTCAGCTTAAATCCAGACTCTACCAATGGCTAACTTTGTGACCTTGGGTAAGAGCCTTTATTCCATGGTCTGATATTCTCCTCCTAAAACATGATAATATTAAAGAAAAAACAAAAGGGAGAGAAGAAAAAAAATAAAGGGGCATCATACTCCTATTTCAGAATTGACATGAAAATTAAAAGCAATGATGAATATAAACAGCTCAGCACACAGTGCCCAGTATGAACAGTCAATAAATGGAACCTACTCTTATTACCTGCCTCTCATTTTTCTTTTCCATTCTTGTCTCCCAAGACACTACTCAAAACACTAAAATCCAGACTACTTATTTCCCCACATGCATACCACATTCTAAAAACTGAAAACCCCTCAGAGAGGGACTTCACAACTTCTTAAATACTTGCACCAAGCTTCTCCTGCACTCCACATTACCTTCTCAGTAAGCAGGGACAAAACAAAACAAAAACAACAACAAAAAAAAACCCTGCAACCCTTCACTTCCTCTACCACCAAGAATTCAAACTTGTCACATCCTCAAACTAACTAAAATTTCTGCTAGCTCTCAAAGTTTCTAAACCAGAGGCTTCTTCTTCCTTGGCAACTTTCAACCACAATGTTGTTCTTACCTTACTGAGTCTACCCAGTGAGACATTTGGCTCCTTATCCAGGCTTTGTTTGATTCATCATCATCTACTTCTCTGCTACTTTTTGTTGTTGTTGTTGTTGTTAGAGAGAGAGAGAGCACAAGCAGGAGGAGCAGCAGGCAGAGGGAGAAGCAGGCTCCCTACTGAACAAGAAGCCCAATGTAGGACTCAATCCCAGGACCCTGGGATCACAACCTGAGCCGAAGGCAGACGTTTCACCAACTGAGTTACCCAGGTGTCCCATTCTGTGCTACTTTCACAATCACTTATGCTAACTCAACCCCATTTGACGTTTTCATCTGCCAGTGGAAACCTCTAACATTCAATCATCCCTGGAGCTCCAAAGTCTCCAATCTTGCTTCTAGGCAACAGCACACTATGCCATGCAGGTCTATCACATTAAACCTTACAAATGTCACTTTATTAGCTTTTTAATAATTCCTCTCTGAGGTTTCCAAAAGTTGATTATGACTTTCTCCAAATTCTTCAAGACTGTCACCTAACACTCTTCCTCTGAGTCACAGATTACTGCAACTTTCACTTTGCTAAGGACATCAAGGCCATCAAGCATCCCTTCTCTACCAGTCTTTATAACTCCATGCATTTTGGACCTTATACTACAGAAATTAAGCACTTTTACTACACTACATTATAATAATTAAACATTAGTAATTGGCAAGTATTGTTCTAAATGAAATAGTTATCAAAGCCTTTTCTTTTTTGTAGATTAAGGAAGTGAAGTATATGGGATGCCTGCATGGCTCAGTTGGTTAAGCATCTGTCTTCAGTTCAGGTCATGATCCCAGGGTCCTGGGATTGAGTCCCGCATTGGGCTCCTTGCTCACTGGGGAGCCTGCTTCTCCCCCTGCCTGCCACTCCCCCTGCTTGTGTGCACTCTCTCTCTCTGGCAAATAAATAAATAAATTTTTTTTGTTTTTAAAGATTTTATTTAATTATTTCACAGAGAGAAACAGCAAGAGAGGGAAAACAAAAAGGGGGAGTGCTCAATGTCCAAAAGAGAACATATTTTACTCTCTTTGAATTCCTCCTTCTTTTCAAATTCATTGTAGTGTCAGCACTGCTCTAGTTACTCAAAGTTAAAAGCAGCACCCTACTAAACTTCTAGGTCTTTCCTTTTTTTTTTTTTTAATTAAAGATTTTATTTATTTATTTGACAGACAGAGATCACAAGTAGGCTGAGAGACAGGCAGAGAGAGAAAGAGAGAGAAAGAGAGAGAGAGAGGAGGAAGCAGGCTCCCCACGGAGCAGAGAGCCTGATGTGGGGCTCGATCCCAGGACCCTGGGATCATGACCTGAGCTGAAGGCAGAGGTTTTAAGCCACTGAGCCACCCAGGCGCCCTCTAGGTCCTTTTTCATACCACTGTCATCCATAGCACTTTTGAGAATCTTGTCATTATCTCTGGTATTAGTTTGCTTACTTACTTACTTACTTAGTCTATCTTTTAGACTAGAATAAATATATATATGAGCTCCATGGAAGTTAGGAATCTTGATCATCTTAATCACAACTCTGTCCTCAGTTCTGATATAGCACCTAACTCATATCACTCTCATAATAAATATTTACCGAATGTTGTTACAGCTTACATTTGTTTTTATTAACAATAAAGTATTATAAAATGTTTAACACTTAATCATATTCACAACAATCCTACTGAGGAAATATTTCTCATTATTATGTTCTCTGTTTTATAAATGAGAAACTGGGGCGCCTGTGTGGCTCGGTTGTTAAGTGTCTGCCTTCGGCTCAGGTCATGATCCCAGGGTCCTGGGATCGAGCCCCACATCAGGCTCTCTGCTCAGCAGGAAGCCTGCTTCTCCCTCTCTTGCCTCTCCTGCTTGTATTCCCTCTCTCACTGTCTCTCTCTGTCAAACAAATAAATGAAATCTTTAAAAAGAAAAAAATGAGAAACTGAGCTTTATACTGGTTAAGTGCCTTTCTCATGCTCATAACACTAAATAAGAGAATGAGGACTAGAATCCAAGAGCTCAACTATATGACATTTGCCTATTTAATCAATAAATTTAAAAAACACACTCATACACATATTTGCTTCACAGAAAGGAAGTTGATTTAGAAAAGCCAAATACCTCAGAATCTACCTTTGGCATATCCATACATGGCCAATAAGCCACAGGTTTCAGGTATGCCTCCCAGTGACACAGGGAGGATATACTGTAAAATAGCTAAAAATCATGCTAGGTATGTTCCATCCATTACTGTTCTTCTGGAGGCATCACTTATACCGAATTACTTTGAGGGTGATGTATTCAAACTACTAACTGGAACCTTCTCACCCAGCAGTAATAAGAATCGCACAGTTGGGGACACCTGGAATGCTCAGTAGTTGAGCATCTGCTTCGGCTCAGATCATGATCCCAGGGTCCTGGGATTGAGCACATCAGGCATCCTGCTCAGCAGGAAGCCTGCTTCTCCATCTCCCACTCCCCGTGCTTGTATTCTCTCTCTTGCTATTTCTTGTTGCCAAATAATAAATAAATAAATAAACAAATGCCTAAAAATAAATAAATAAATGAATAAAATAAAAGCCTTAAAAAAAAGAGAAAAGAATCCCACGGTTACCAATACCCTGTATTATTCAGGTAGCCCTTAGAGTAGAGAGACCATGTCTTCTTGATTTCTGTAGACCTAGTACAGTGGCTAAAACCCAGGAGATGCCCAATATTGTTTATTCAAGAATGAAGGAATAGGGAAAATACAAAGCTATTAGACAGTACCTTACCTTGGCCTCTTCTTGATCTTCCAGAGAAAACTCCATCAATTCATCGGAAGTCTCCTCTGCCTGATCTCCTAGTTCTGGATTTTTATCCAATTTTGGAAATGTAGTAATGGGACTGCCCAGATATTTCATTTCACTTTCCAAAAAGTTTCCATTGTCCTGCCAATTATATGGACAATATTAAAAACTCTTCAGGACCCCTTACATTACACCATATATAAAAATTAATTCAAAATGAATCAAAGACCCAAATGTAAAAGCTAAAACTATAAAACTCTTAGAAGAAAACAGTTGGAAAAGTTCATAACACTGGATTTGGCAATGATCTCATTAACATGACACTAGAGCATGGGCCAACAGAAGAAAAAAAAATGAACAAATTGAACTTAATAAAATTAAAAATTTCTGTGCATCAAAAAATACCACGAAGAAAGTAAAAAGGCAATGTACAAAAATGGGAGAAAATATTGGCAAACCATATATCTGATAAGGGATTAATATCCAGAATATATAAAAAACTCATACAGTGCAACACACAAAAAAACAAAGATTTTTAAAAAGGTGCAGCTGAGGAGTGCCTGGGTGGCTCAATCGGTTAACTGGCTGCTTTCAACTCAGGTCATGATCCCAGAGTTCTTAGATTGAGCCCACATGGGGCTCCCTGCTCAGTGGAGAGCCTGCTTCTCCCTCTCCCTCTGCCTGTCACTCTGCCTACTCGTGCTTTCTCTCTAATAAATAAAAATCTTAAAATAAAAAAATATGCCACTGATATGGATAAACAGTATTGTGGTTCCCCCTCAAATACAGAATTATCTTATAATCCACAAATTCCATTTCTAGGTATATACCCCAGAGATCTGAAAGCAAGGATTTGAACAGATATTTGTATTCCAGTATCATGGTAGCACTATTTGCAATGGAAGAAGGTAGAAACAACCCAATGTCCATCAACAAATTAATAGATAAACAGAATGTTATACCACTAATTGTACAAAAGTCAAATTCACAGAGACAGAAAATAGATTAGAGGTTACCAGGAGCTGGAAGGAGGAAGGAAGGAATGGGGAGTTATTTTTTTTTTTTTAAGATTTTATTTATTTATTTGACAGAGAGAAATCACAAGTAGGCAGAGAGGCAGGCAGAGAGAGAGGAGGAAGCAGGCTCCCTGCTGAGCAGAAAGCCCGACATGGGGCTTGAACCCAGGACCTGGGATCATGACCTGAGCTGAAGGCAGAGGCTTAACCCACTGAGCCACCCAGGCGCCCCGGGGAGTTATTTTTTAATGGGTAGCGAGTTTCTGTTCTAAATGATGAAAAAAATCTGGAAATGAATAGTGGTGATGGTTGCACAACATTGTAAATATATTTAATGCCATTGGATTATACACTTAAAAATGGTTAAAATGGCAAATTTTATGTTATGTGTATTTTATCCCATTAAAAGATACACACGCACACAGACACACACACAACCCCCCCAGAGGAGACTTAATCAGTAATTTACCATGCTCTAAGTCTTCCCTTTCTCCAAGAAATCAAAAACCTGAAACATGGTCAATATAATCTACTTATGATGGGCTACGTTAAAATGACTTTTTCCTAGGATTGAGATTAGACCCTAAATCCCTGGAGTATCTTGAATCCACTGTCTATTAAAAGAAACTGAGTGCCTGGGCACCTTAAGACTCCAGTAGCTAAATGGACAAAGGGCACAGTCATTTACTAGGTAAAATGTACATGGCTAATATTCACATGAAATCACTACTAATTGTTTTTAACATAAAATAAAATATTTATCAATCTAATTAGCAGTTAAAAAATAATAAATCATTTATCCAAAGACCTATAAATTGTTAATGAATATTTATTTTCCTACAACATTTTTGGAAAGAAATCTGACTATATATATCAAAAATCTTAAAAATATACTCTTTAGGGGTGCCTGGGTGGCTCAGTTTTTAACTATCTGCCTCGGCTCAGGTCATGATCCCAGAGTCCTGGGATCAAGCCCTGCATCAAACTCCCTACTCAGTGGGAAGCCTGCTTCTCCCTCTCCCACTCCCCTCTACTTGTGTTCCCTCTCTCACTGTCTCTCTCTCTCTCTGTCAAATAAATAAATAAAATATTAAAATATATTTATATATACTCTTGGGACGCCTGGGTGGCTCAGTTGGTTAAGCAGCTGCCTTTGGCTCAGGTCATGATCCCGGCGTCCTGGGATCGAGTCCCACATCGGGCTCCTTGCTTGGCGGGGAGCCTGCTTCTCCCTCTGCCTCTGCCTGCCATTCTGTCTGCCTGTGCTCACTCTCTCTCCCTCTCTCTCTGACAAATAAATAAAATCTTTAAAAAAAAAAAAAAAAAAAAAATATATATATATATATATATATATATATATATATTTATATATACTCTTTAACCTCATAATTATAATTCTTGGTACTAATCCTAAAGAAAATATTTTGAAATACAGGTAAAGATTGATGTTCAAGAATTACATTATAGCATTATTTGTAAAAGCAACATTTGGATACGACTGTGTCCAAAAATAGGGAATTTTGTAAATTATGGTTCATTTGTTAGAGTAAAAACATCTATTAAAAAATAATGTTTACTAGGAGTTTCAATATTAAGTTTAAAAAAGTGGGATATAAAATTATATATATGGGGGTGCCTGGGTGGCTCAGTGGGTTAAAGCCTCTGCCTTCGACTCAGGTCATGATCCTGGGATGGAGCCCCGAATCGGGCTCTCTGCTCAGCAGGGAGCCTGCTTCCTTCTCTCTCTCTCTGCCTGCCTCTCTGCCTACTTGTGATCTCTGTCAAATAAATAAATAAAATATTAAAATTATATATATGTAATATGACTTCAACTTTGTAAAACTATACATAGTTAAAAGACTGTAAAGAAATAAGGTAAAATGTTAATAACAGATTTCCCTTTATGAGATAGCTATTTTCTTTTTTATATTCTTGTATTTTAAAACCATTTTCACGGGGCGCCTGGGTGGCTCAGTGGGTTAAGCCTCTGCCTTCGGCTCAGGTCATGATCTTAGGGTCCTGGGATCGAGCCCCGCATCAGGCTCTCTGCTCAGCAGTGAGCCTGCTTCCCCCTCTCTCTGCCTGCCTCTCTGCCTACTTGTGATCTCTCTCTCTCTCTCTCTTTCTGTCAAATAAATAAATAAATAATAATTTTTAAAAAAAACCATTTTCACAATGGGCCCATTGTACTTCTAAAAATTAGGGTAGGGGGAAAAATTAGGGTAGGGGAAGACAAATAAAGAATAAAACAGAAAAATTTTAAATGCCCAAGAAATTTTTTCCCTCCTTAAATTGAAACAAATAAAAAGATCAGGGGATGAGTCTCCTCCTTTTCCTGGAGCTACTTCTCCAACCCCTTTTCTCACCCAAGCCAGCTTAAAAAAATTCAAAGTGCTGTAAATGCAGATCTGCCACCCTATATTCCACAATGCCTCAGCAGACCCTTGATGAGGATGTTCAGTGACTCACCAGTAGAGAAAGGGGAGACATGTAAGGCCCCCCTTGTCTAGTTTGAAACTTCAGGCTCCTGAGTGGCCACCACTCTGAGGACTTCAAAGTGTTGTTCTCCTGCATAAGAAAAACTACATGGGTTGGAGGAAGACAAGTGTCAGCAAGCCCTGCCAAACACATTTCATCAGATGAAGCCATGAATAACCCTCACAAAACACATTAAGTGTAATCAAGGTTGATCCTATATCCTGATGATACAAATTATGGTTTGAATTTGACGTATGATATGTAGCTTTGCTTTGGAGGATACTAACTTTATAATCACAAGCCAAAGGATAGGAGGAAGAGGGGAGTCCAACTGGGGAGGGGATGGTGAGATTTTTAAAAAGTGATCAGGAGAGTATCAAACAAGAAAAAGCTGATTAGAACAGCCAAAAACATGGATATAACTTAGTCAATGTGAGAAAAGAACAGCAGCTATCTTTTATAAATACTGACCTGGGGGAAAGGATAGGAGGCAGGAAATAGAAAAACATGGCTAGAAAAGAGAATTAGTTGAAGGGATTATTTAGACAATTATCTTAGTGATTAGGTGGCTCTGTGGAGCCCACTTCAATTTAGAACTGATGGAGGGGGACAGCTGGGTGACTCAGTCCATAAGCATCTGACTCTTGGTTTCAGCTCAGGTCAGGATCTCAAAGTCATGAGATCAAGCCCTGCCTCATGCTCTCCATTCAGCAAGGAGTCTGCTTGGGGATTCTCTCCCTTTCCCTCTGCCTCCCACCCCCCCACCCCCCACCCCCGCTCTCATTCTCCTTCTCTCTCTAAAATAAACACTTAAAAACCAAACCAAGCCAAACCAAAAGAACTGATGGAGGGCCTGAGGCTCCAAAAAAGGCCCATGGCTTTCTCAGAATCCAGACTAAAGAAGATGGACTAAGGGAGAAATTAGAAATAAAGTAGACGCATATATGAAGCCATACAAAGAGTATGTTAACAACTTATATACATTACCTTTATCCATTAAAAAAAAAAAGTTCTAAATTCCCAAACTACAGTAACAGATTTTTTTTGTCCTTAAATTAATCAACTGAACATGGGTAAAAATGACGACTTGCTGTGGAAGACTCAGAGCTATATTTCTATTCTATGGTCAAAACTTAAAGAGAAAAAACAAACCATAAAGAGTTTTTTTTTTTTTTTTAAAGATTTTATTTATTTATTTGACAGAGAGAGATCACAAGTAGAGAGGCAGGCAGAGAGAGAGGGGGAAGCAGGCTCCCCACTGAGCAGAGAGAACCCGATGCGGGGCTCGATCCCAGGACCCTGAGACCATGACCTGAGCTGAAGGCAGAGGCTTTAACCCACTGAGCCACCCAGGAGCCCCCAAACCATAAAGAGTTTTTTGCCTGGGGCATCTGGGTGGCTCAGTTGGTTAACCCTCTGCCTTTGGCTCAGGTCATTATCTCAAGAGTACTGGGATGGACCCCCACTAGGGCAATGGGCTCTGTGCTCAGCAGGGAGTCTGCTCTCCCTCCCCCCCTCTGCCCTTCCCCCCTTGCTCATTCCCTCTCTCTCTCTCATGGTCTCTCTCAAATAAATAAATAAAAATTTAAAAGAAAAAAATATTAAAAAAAAGAATTTTTTGCTTGTAGTGATGCAGTTTGCTGGTCTGCACAATGAGGCATAAGGGTTCTAAGTCTCTTAATAATACTGGTGAGTTGCTCCCCTCATAGGAAGAAAATTGCTACTGTATCTAGGTTTACCACTCACATTTTCTTTATTTGTGGATGAGCTACATATTGCATCTTTCTTCCTGTTGCCATGGTCCAAAGCACTTGGAGTGCTACAATGCAGCTGTGCCTACAAGAGAATGTTTTCTGAGAAAATCCAGCATCCTTGGGCCACAGGTGAGCTGGAAAGTCTCTGTCTCCCACCTGAGAAACAAACCCAAACCCAAGAAAGAGACGCTACTCACTGGGCCGCATTTTGTAAGGTGCTGATGATGATTCCTGCAGACCAAAAAAAACCTGACGGTCAGTTAACCCCAAATACTGTTTTGTTATTTGTCAGTGGCTTGGGGCATTCCAACTTTTCCTTTCTTCCATGGTAGAAGCCCTATACCTAGTTGATGTGTCACTTTCAGTAATAATATGTAGGGTGCTATCTGGCAAATATGAAGATGTTGAGTGACATCCTGGGGATAAGGCCCTTATTTCATGTGCATAACCATATATATATATATATATACATCAAAGATGATGAGTTTTTCTTACATCTTACATACACACAATTGACTAATTCTCCAGCTTTGGCTATTTGGAGCTAATATTTATTTTTTAAGAATTACTATCCTTCCTGCCAGGATTTTATCTAGTCTACATGGTTTAGGACATTTTAGGCAAATCAAAGAAACTACAAGAAATCTAAAGTGAAATTTTCACATGTATTATTAAAAATAATCATGGGGGGCACCTGACGGGCTTAGTCACTGGAGCATTGACTCTTGATCTCAGGGTTGTGAGTTTAAGCCCCATATTGGGGGTAGAGATGACTTAAAAATAAAATCTTAGGGGCACCTGGGTGGCTTAGTGGGTTAGAGCCTCTGCCTTTGGCTCAGGTCATGATCCCAGGGTCTTGGGATCGAGCCCCACATCCGGCTCTCTGCTCAGCAGGGAGCCTGCTTCCTCCTCTCTCTCTCTCTGCCTGCCTCTCCGCCTAGTTGTGATCTCTGTCAAATAAATAAATAAATAAAATTTTTAAAAAAAATCTTAGGGCGTCTAGGTGGCTCAGTTGGTTAAGCAACTCCCTTCGGCTCAGGTCATGATCCCAGAGTCCAGGGATCAAGTCCCACATTGGGCTCCCTGCTCCACGGGGAGTCTGTTTCTTCCACCGACCTTCTCCCCTCTCATGTTTTCTCTCACTCTCTCTCTCTCTCTCAAATGGATAAATAAAATCTTTAAAATAAAATAAAATCTTTTTTAAAGTATTTTATTTATTTATTTATTTGACAGAGAGAGAGAGATCACAAGTAGGCAGAGAGGCAGGCAGAGAGAAAGAGGGGGAAGCAGGCTCCCTGCTGAGCAGAGAGCTCGATGTGGGGCTGGATCTCAGGAACCTGAGATCATGACCTGAGCCAAAGGCAGAGGCTTAACCCTCTGAGCCACCCAGGTGCCCCTAAAATAAAATCTTTTTTGTTTGTTTGTTTGTTTGTTTATTAATTTGACAGACAGAGATCACAAGTAGGCAGAGAGGCAGGAAGCGAGAGAGAGGGGGGTGGGAAGCAGGCTCCCTGCTGAGCAGAGAGCCCGATGCGGGGCTCGATCCCAGGACCCTGGGATCATGACCTGAGCCGAAGGCAGAGGCTTAACCCACTGAGCCACCCAGGCGCCCCTAAAATAAAATCTTTTAAAAAACAAATAATTCAATAAAAATTTCAAAAGTCATATGCTTTCACTAGTGCACCACAGTGGCACCTAATTCACCTAAATATCAAAGAACAAAGTTCTAAGAAGATTTAAACAGTCAAATGGAAACCTAAGAAGTTAAGAAGTTGAATTAAAATTACTTTTCAGGGCACCTGCGTGGCTCAGTTGGTTGAGCGACTGCCTTTGGCTCAGGTCATGATCCCGGACTTCCAAGATCTCATCCCGCATGGGGCTCCCAGCTCCTTGGGGAGTCCGCTTCTCCCTCTGACCTTCTCCTCTCTCATGCTCTCTCTCATTCATTCTCTCTCAAATAGATAAATAAAATCTTTTAAAAAAATAAATAAATAGGGGCGCCTGGGTGGCTCAGTGGGTTGAAGCTTCTGCCTTCGGCTCGGGTCATGATCTTGGGGTCCTGGAATCGAGCCCTGCATCCGGCTCTCTGCTCAGCGGAGAGCCTGCTTCCCCCTCTCTCTCTGCCTGCTTCTCTGCCTACTTGTGATCCCTCTTTCTGTCAAATAAATAAATAAAATCTTTAATAAATAAATAAATAAATAAATAATAAATAAATAAAATAAAATAAAATTACTTTTCATTCCTTGAGGATTTCCCCAGTTGAACATGTTAGATCTCCAGCAAAGAATCACCATGAATAATAACAATAAACATTATAAAATGTTTGGCATGTGCTAAATTTCATCCTTACAGGACCAGTTATGGGAAGTATTAGTATTATTTCCACTGTTATTTATTACAAATGAAGAAACTGAGGTCCAGGGAAGTTCAGAAACTTTTCAGAGTCACAGCTGGTGAAAGAGTAAACCACTGGAATCTAGATGCTCTAACATAGCCCTACTCACATGCAGGTAACAGCTGATGCCTAAACGTAATATATCATTTTCTTTCATTTTTTAAATATAACACAAACTGTTTGTAATGGTTAAAATGAACTATTTAGATCTGGGAAACTTAAAAAAAACTTTCAAAGGAAGGATCTGGGCTTTCAAGCCCACTTACACCCAAAGCAAAAGGTTCTATATTTTATAGAGTCTGCATAGGATAAAATCTCTGTGCCACTGCTGAAAAGGTTTTAGCATGGGGTTCATTTAGCAAAAGAACTTACATCCCAGTTAAATGTATTTCCTGAGGTCCTTTAGAATCCAAGTGACCTGTAATCAGATGTGAAGAGTTATTCTTGTCCATGCATTCTGTCTTTCCTTCTAGTTTTCTTCATTTCTTAATTTCAAAAGCTGATGTTTTGAAAACAAAGGCTCTTGATAAGTACTAAGTATACGGTACAAGTTTCAAGTTCATGAAAACTTAAGAATTTATGTGTGTCACAAAGAAAAAACACTGCGAAAACAGGGCCCTACCCTAAACAACAGATTTTTTTCCTCATGAGTAGAAAATGATGCTTATCACTCAGGAAATCTGAAAGTAGAACAAATACTAAAATGGTTGACTAGTTACTCCTTTTGGACTCAGACTCTACAAAAACAAAAGAATTAGTTAACAAATATTTGTTTGTTTCTTTGCCTTTCCTGAGATTAGAGTAGAGCATAAGACGTCTCGTTTTAATTAATACTTTCATTCCTACCATCAGTTAGTCAACAAAATATTCCTTTCTGTCTAAATTTTTCAAATGCGAAGTGACTCTTATTAATGATATTATATTTCTCTTCTTGGCTTATCATTCTCAAAAATCCACTAAGTACTCACAGAATTCTAACTTCAAAGATCTCTACCTACTTTTACCACCTTCTATCTCTATCCAACTACACTGTCCTCTCCATTAAAAGCTGTTCTTTCCCTTGAGGTCTTTACCTCCTTTCTCCTTACCAGTTTCATCAAGGTCTGCAGAAGTGGTAAGTTGATTGGCAGACATCTCTCCACCACCACTAAGATTCGAAAGATCAAGGCAACATTTCGGGGTACCTCTATTGAGACACAATAGTACATCAAGATTCCTATTTGGCTGTAGTATCCTTAAAAGGCAAAGATCACATTATCCTCTTCATCTGAAACACCCCTCAATAGTCATTCACACCATCTGAACAGTGTCCAAATAAATCTAGCTGCTTTTTTGGCAATACTTCAGAGTAGGCTGAGAAAAATCTCCCACTTTTCTCTACCCTAATAATTTGCATGTCATTTCCTCCTCACCAACAGAGTGAGACAAGTAATTTTTTTAAATTCGAGAACCAGGGCTCCTGGGTGGCTCAGTTGGTTGAGCAACTGCCTTCTGCTCAGGTCATGATCCCGGACTTCCAGGATCGAGTCCCGCATCGGGCTCCCAGCTCCTTGGGGAGTCTGCTTCTCCCCTCTCATGCTCTCTCTCACTCATTCTCCCTCAAATAAATAAATAAAATCTTTAAAAATAAATAAATAAATAAATAAATTCGAGAACCAAAGATTGTTGGCTGAAGTCAATCTTGACCCCACAAATTCTCCCCTAAGCACTGTGAACAAACAGATTTGATTTCTCCTTGGAGTCTCTAGTATTTCTCAGGTCTATAACTCTCCAACTTTGTTTGCTAGCTGAGGCATCAGAGCCTGGCATGACCAGGATTTAAAGAATAACACTAATATTAATACTAATAAAACAACCAACTCATTTAATGCAATAGAGTTTTCAAAGACTTGTGCCAGACATCACATCATTTGATTCTCACAAGATCGTGGTAAGATAGGAAGAGATTATTATTTCTATGTCATAAAAAAGAAACCTGAGACTCAAGGGTAACACGGTTAATGAAAGGCAGGGTTTAAAACTTCACCTCTGATCTTTGAGTCAGGATAATTTTTTAAAAACCCAAAGGCTACTCAGGAAAGCAAAGGAGATAAAGTGTGAAAAGTGAATTTACCCAGACAAAACGCTTAGGTTTGCAGAATCAGCAAAGAGTTTGTTCACGGGAGTTCTAGGGAGATCTGGACAGGTGGTAAAGGAAGTGTCTCTCTCCAGGAGCAGGTTTAATATCTTCCTCCCACTGGATCTAAAACTGGGTCTGGAGCTGGGGCATTCCTCCTCTCCTGCTGATGAAATGAATTCTGCAGACATGGCCTCTGAAACCTGACTAAGGGGAAAAAAATAAATAAATAAATAAGTAAAGCCTAGCTAAGGGGCGAACCTCATCTACATAGGTACCCCACAGACTGTCCAGTGTTCACATCCTCCTCCACTCTTCCCAGCAGCGGCCCAGCGGCTCTTATTGGATCCCAATCCCAACCGATAAATCACACACAGGTCCGCCTGAAGGTGAAATCACACGTGCTCCAAGAGGCTTGACCTTTTCCTCCGGGCCTGGACTTAACTAGAGGCAAACGTAGGACTTTTTTTTTTTTTTCCCTTCAAGTCAGGTCGGCAACCTAAACTGGGACTCGAACTCATCACCCCAAAATCAACAGTCCCACGTTCCATTGACTGAGCCAGCCAGGCCCTCCAAACCCAAGACTTTAAAAAAGGAATGAAAAGAGGGCTTTTATTTGTTCGGGGGCTACACAGCTCATGGCTCATGGCAAGGAAGGAATTCAGGTCTCTTAATTCGCGACAATGACTATTAGGTCCCGTGAAGTTCTGTTTGTGAGACCCCGACCGGACCTGAGGGGACGCTAGGGTCTCTGATTCTGGTGGAGAAGTCTCCGCGCTTACCTCAGGAGAAACGGAAGTGGGAAGTCACTCACAAGCGAAGCCTTGAGTAGAATGAAAAGAAATCTGAGGAAAGAAGTCAATTAACCAGACTACAATTCTGCTTCAAGACAGGATAGGCTCGAGTCCAGGTTTGCGTTTCTCTCACGAGAGGGTCAAAGTTACAGCCTCGGTGCAAAAATATCAACAGTCACAGGTCCCGGCTGTTCAAACCTTCCGCCTTCCCCATAAACCTATCCCATTCACCTCAAAACTGCGCCAGCCAATCTGCGCGCGCCCGCCAGACCACCCCCCCACTCCACCCCATGGCCAATCGTTTGGCTCTAAATCACCAGGCGTGAGTTTGCTTTGGAAGGAACACAATATGCCCCGCCCCGCCGTCAGAGAAAGATGCCCATTGGCCCATCAGCGTACGCCGAGCCCCGAGGTAAGCCCCGCCTTGCTGAGTACCTGGCACACCATTGGCTCTCTTTCTGGCCAATCACCACAGCTTTCCCGAGCTCTCCATTCCCTTAGTCCCTCCAACCCCGGGAGATTTAAACTGCCCTTCGTGAGCAATTATCACTCTTTAGGATAATATCTGGGGAGATTTGTTTGGATGCAGGGTGTTTTTAACGTTTCTCTTTCCTTACTTCTTTCTTGTGTGGTTACGTGGGTCTTTTCCTCTTCGTTTTGCTTGACTTCCCTTGGAGATATGGAGCCTTTTCCACTGGGATGGCAGATGTTGAGACGAGACAGGTGTGTGTGCTTAAGCTGAGCAGCACTGGCCGCTTCCGACAGCATTCCTTGTTCCGCGTTCCTTTCATAGCGCGGCGTCTTCTAGATGCTAGGTTGTGTAGGATAAAGGAAATTTCTTTTGAGGGTTGTTTATGGAAATGTGGACACTGATGAGGTGGTGTTAAAAAAGTTCTCCCCCCCCCCAAGTTTATTTGTCTTTGTAATCTCTACACCCAATGTGGGGCTCAAACTCAGGATCCCAAGATCAAGAGCCCCATGGTCTTCTGACTCAGCCAGACAGGTGCTCCAAGAATTTATTCTTGTATTTTTTCAAAAACTAATTCTTTTTTTTTAAATATTTATTTATTTGACAGACAGAGATCACAAGTAGGCAGAGAAGCAGGCAGAGAGAGAGGAAGGGAAGCAGGCTCCCCAGCGAGCAGAGATCCCGTCGCGGGGCTCCATCAGGACCCCAGGACCACGACCTGAGCCGAAGGCAGAGGCTTTAACCGACTGAGCCACCCAGGCGCCCCTCAAGAATTAATTCTTTTTTTTTTTTTTAAGATTTTATTTATTTATTTGACAGAGATCACAAAGTAGGCAGAGAGGCAGCCAGAGAGAGAGAGAGGAGGAAGCAGGCTTCCTGCTGAGCAGAGAGCTCGATATGGGGCTCGATCCCAGGACCCTGAGATCATGACCCGAGTGGAAGGCAGAGGCTTTAACCCACTGAGCCACCCAGGTGCCCCAAGAATTAATTCTTAAAGTTGAAGATTTGAATAATCCTGTGGGAGTACTGGTGGGCATAGATAAAACAAGATTTGCCATGAGTATTAGCTGATGGGTAACTAGGGATCACTACTCTCAACGTTTAACATACATACTCATCATCTGGGGATTTTAAAATGCAGGTTAAAATTCAGTAGGTTTGAGTTGGGCCCAAAATTCTGCACTTGTAACAATCTTGCAGCTGATGCTGATGCGGCGGTCCTGTGACCCTACTTTGAGTAGCAAAACATTATGCTGTGCTCTTCTATTTTTGAAATTTTCCATAACAAAAAAAAAGTTCAAAATACCCTGGAAGCTCTTTAAAATGCAAGCCTCCAAAATGATGATTCAATAAGTTGAGGGTGGGATCTAGGAATTATCAAAGCTCCCAGGGGCTACTCGTGCTGTTGGCTTGCAGACCAGTCTGAGAAACAAATCAGAAATACAAACTTTATCTTTGAGAAACTGTTAAGTCAGATATACAACCTTTATCTAGTGTCCACATCTTGGTGGTGGTACAGTGTAGTCAGCCAGATTTTATCCTAATACTCTTTCATCTGCAGAATCTGCTTCCCCAGAAAGGAAGTGTGTGAAGAGTCTTTGTTCTCTGGGATTGAGATGGTGAGTGTGGGAGTCAGCACAGAGCCCTGCCATGCCAGGTGAGTTTGAAAACCAGACTGGGGGTTAAGAAGTATGTGGGGGATGAGTTGGTTTCTGCTTTGATAACCATAATCACACTTCATGGGGCCACTGTATACTTCCCCCACAGGTGGGAGGTAGAGACAGATGAAACTGTTCTACAGCGGCGGCAAAAACAGATAGATTATGGCAAGTGCACACCTGGTTACCAGTGTTTCCTGCAGCAGGTCCCCAAGTGAGTGCAATTGTGGGTGGTCACAACAACAGTGTCATCCAAGTGGCTTTGGTTCAATGTAGGGTGATAGAAAGATACTAGAATCTGAGTGTTCTCACAAAGTTACATCATTACTACAACTAATTCTCTTGCACTGTAGCCCCAAAAATAAGTTTTCAAGATTTTTTTTTCAAATAGAACAAATCATACTTGGCCAATGAGAATTTTTAAAGTTCTATTTAGTTTGCTATGAAGTTTTTTCTTTCTAACCATTTTTACCTCATACCTCCAGCTGACTTCACTAATTACAACACACTTGCCTAATTACATGTAAGTTTCCATGCATACATGCATACTAAGTGTATAAAAAGGTAGCATGTATTTTAAAGAGATGTCAGAGGGGCACCTGGGTGGCTCAGTGGCTTAAGCCTCTGCCTTCAGCTCAGGTCATGATCTCAGGGTCCTGGGATCGAGTCCCACATCGGGCTCTCTGCTCGGCAGGGAGCCTGCTTCCTCCTCTCTGTCTCTCTGCCTGCCCCTCTGCCTACTTATGATCTCTCTCTGTCAAATAAGTAAATAAATAATCTTAAAAAAATAATAAATAAAGAGATGTCAGATATTGTCTTTATATCTACCTTGACTTCTGAGAGAGTTGAAATATCTAAATTATCTTTCCCAGAAGAATATTAGGAATTTAGGAAGTTAGGTGCTTAATCCCATCTGAAGATTTGTTTTTTCTGATTGAATTGAGGGCATTGGTCCTACCTCGCTCTCAGGAAATCCCCGAGTCTCCAAATTCACTGTGATAAACAATGAGCGGTGCCCCTTTATCTTGACCTGAGTCTGACACATATTTGTCATTGCCAGGGCCAAGCGACAGCCAGGACTTCACCCTCAAACACCAAACAAGAAGAGGAGATACAGCCGTCGCTCCTGGGATGCCCAGATCAGGCAGTGGAGAAGAGCCCTACATTCCTGGGACCCCCCCAAGCCAGCCTCTGCAGGGCAGGGTGTCTGAGGGGTGTGTGCATTATTCTTGGTTTGTTGTTTGAGTGGTGGACTGAGCCCAACCTCTCCTCAATTTGCAGAGGTTTAGCTTTTACAGGCTGAAAAGGGAGAGTCTGAATGAGGTGTATGTTCCTCTGACTCTGCTACCTTCCTAGGCAGGGAATGGAGGAACTCTTAGAGCCAATGGGTTCCACCCCTTTGGATGACCTCCTGAATGACTGGTTCCAGGCCCTGGAACCCTCACCAAATCCAGATGGAGGCCAGAAGGGAGCCCAGGTAGTATCCTCTTCTAAAACCCATTGGAGCAGGTTTAGAAATGGAGTCTGGCCCATGAGGTAACCATTAGATGGTGTTCATGGTAGTATTCGAAGAAAAATGGGGCAGCAGGAAAAAATAGGACATAAATAAAAAATTTGAGAACTAAAGGTGACATAAGGAGATTTAACTGTAGTTGGTAATGGTGGGAAAGTTGGGTTGCATTGAAGGTTATTTTATACTTGATGAAAGGTGTATCTTCCTTGGAAATGAGAACTTGAAAGGTGACATGAAGGGTTTGGGGTGTTTATTTTTCTTTTAAGTGTCTCAATTTATTTCCGTGTTTCAGAATAAGCCAGTACTAACTTTACTTCTTATTCTCAATTATTGAACTTTTTTTTTAAAGATTTTATTTTTTTATTGAACTTAAAAAAAAAGATTTTTTAAATTTATTTGACAGAGAGATAGAGAGCACAAGTAGGCAGAGTGGCAGGCAGAGGGAGAGGGAGAAGAAGGCTCTCCACAGAGCAGGGAGTCCAATGCAGGGCTCAATCCGAGGACCCTGGGATCATGATGACCTGAGCTGAAGGCAGCTGCCAACTGACTGAGCCACCCAGGCATCCCAATCAATGAACTTTGTTAAGTATGGTTAATAATAAAAATGAGTATCACCAAGTGGTGAAAATCAAGGGCTTTAGAGCCTCAAGGAGTGCATTGTAATATTACCTTGGCCCACCACATGGGCAATCACTTAATCTCTCCGACCATTTCATCTGTCAAATAGGGAGATTTGTCTCATTTGATGATTCTAAGCAAAAAATGGGAATACATATTTAAAGTAAGTAGTATAGTGCCTGGCACATAGTGCTCCACAACAGCAATTATTGGAAACCATGTCTTCTATACTTCATGGCCTCTTTTGCCAAGGGATTTGAAATGTGCAAATAAAGAAAATGTGCAGTGCATCTTCCCTCCACCCCCATTTTCTTGATAAATAGCTCACTTTCCCTCTACTCTTCTTTTTCAGTTTGCAGATTCCGTGGCTCCTGCCTACTCCCTTCCCTGGCTCTGTGAGGAAGAAGCCCCACCACTGGTTCTACTTTCTAGCTCATCACAGTTATATATCTGTCCCAGATTTGAGTGGGACACAAAATATTTAGAGAAAACAGATGTCTTTCAAGGGACATGTTGCTAAGTGTAATAGTGAAGATTACTTGCATTACTGCTACTTCCCAATTAAAAAATAATCTTAAACTGCCCTACAAAGAAATCACAACACGAAGGCATTGTTTAAAACTTCTTTTCCCGGGTGCCTGGGTGGCTCAGTGGGTTAAAGCCTCTGCCTTCGGCTCAGGTCATGATCCCAGGGTATTGGGATCGAGCCCCGCGTCAGCAGAGAGCCTGCTTCTCCCTCTCTCTCTGCCTGCCTCTCTGCCTACTTGTGATCTCTGTCTGTCAAATAAATAAATAAAATCTTTAAAAAAAAAACCAAACAAACTTATTTTCCCATTTTTGCCTGCTTTTCTAAACCTTCTTTGATAGCTGAGACTCAAATTTACATAAGAGCCAGTAACCATTTAGCTATTCCCCAACCTATTCCCTACTAACGTCTACGTTCAGTCTTTTCAAAAAAGACTTAAACTTTGGCTGAGGTGGGAGGTGGTGGTAGTGGTGGAAATTTAATAAAGGGTGGCATCCTCCTCCTGAAGAGGAAATACAAAGCTATCAACATCTTTTACACAAGCTGCCTCTTTCCTTCCTCCCTCCCGTTCTGTCTTAAGGAAAGAAGTCCAGCTGTAACCACCATACTCCCCCCCCCCACCCCCGCAAGCAACTGAACCGCCTATGATGTCATAATCACAACCCCATTACTTCATCCTGCTGGGGGGTGGGGGTGCGTAGAGGAAGGAGGAGGAGTGAACAGCCCTGGGCCCACCTCGGCTTTACAAAGTGTTTTGGGTGAGGGTTAATTACTGAACCAGTTGGGAACGGCCCCGCAACCGTTGCAAGTCTGAGGTTTATAAGGCTCGAGGCGATCGGGCAGCTGGAAGAGGGGCTCCTGGGACTCAGAGCAGGCCCTAATCGGCTCTTGGACTACATTTCCCAAAAGCCTTCACGCCGCGGACGGGTCCTCTGTTGGCGGAAGGGGGATTCCTTCCGAGAGGCTGCCGTAGAGGGCGGGACAGGAGAGCAGGTAAGAGGAACTTTGGCTATTTCTGTTACGCGGCCCGAATCGAGTAGGGAGCCGTACTTGGGCCAATGTCGGAACCGAGGGCGAGGGGAATGGCTTTGTTTACCTTCTACCAACACGGTCTCCCCCGCGGGTTTGGAGATGTGCCGCCAACTGGGCCCGTCCACCTTCTGCAATATTTTGGAGGGGGTGACTCGATAGTGAGGAAACCACGTTTATCCCTAAATCAAAGATCTTGGCTCATTCCCGGTAGCACTTTCTAAAAAAGACTTTGAGAGAGAAATGACGCGGGTTCGAGCCTCCGCGGACGGTTCAGGGCGATTCTGCGATCCAGAGCGATCCCCCACTCTCCTTAGGGGCCCGTTGGTTCGTGCCGGCGCCTTTTAAGGGCACCGTGGGGCGAACGGAGCGCTCAGAGCTGCTCTGGCCGCGGCCCTGGGAGCTGGAGGAGCCGCGGTAGGTGGCGAGGGCAGGTGGCGCTGGGGCCTCGGGGCGGGCACCTCGACCGTCCCTCCCTCCTTCTCTCCTTCCCTTCCCCCAGCCCGGTCGCGCGCGTTGCATGGCCTCTCTGGACGCCTCCGCGGGGAGAGCACGGGACCTGGTGGGGGAGGGGTTGGCGGAGTGCTAAGTCCCAGACCCTCTACAGCCTCTGCGTCCTGAGTTCGCTTCCCGCGGCCAGATGATGGAAGCTGATTGGGAAGAGGCGAAAGACAGCCCCCCTGAGCGAGCCCTGGTGCCCCCCCTAGGGGCTAGCGGACGCCCCATGCCCCACCCCGCAGGGACAGGCAGGGCAACCGAGGGAGAGGTTGAAGACTGGAGGGGGGGACCTACCCCTTTTGCTTCTTCATCCGGGTGGGGGGAGGGGTGCTCCCCACTTGTCACCCCTATCCCCGCCAGAGCCATATGGAGGAAGAGCAGTCAGTTCCCCACTTACCTGTTCATGCACCTCCCTGCCTCCCTCATGTTTTCCTTTAGTGTCCCCCAGAGGTGTGGGTCTGGGACCTGGGGGGAAGGTCCCCAGGGGATTTGTGACTCTCCTCCCCCTTGGTCTGACTTGATCCTAGGTTCTCCAGGTTTCAGCACAGCCTCAGCATCCCTAAAACCCGAATGTCAGGGGCTCCTACTATCCAATAGGAGATGGGGTGGGGGTCCAGTCTTTATTTTAGGGGGCTGATGGTGGAGGGAAAGCCTGGATTGAGAGTTGGGCCTGGTGGGGTGGTGGGGAGGGCCTAGCGGCCTGCTACTCTTTGAAGGGCTGAGCCCTGTGCCAGTTGTTAAGCTGAGAAGTTTTAACTTGTTTAGTGAACGTTCAGGGCTGCCTCTGCCCCTCAGATATACAAAATGGAAGGGAAGGAAGGCGGCAAGAGAGGGTTTCTTACACTTTTTGCTATGCCTGCCTGAGAAAGAGGAGGCCCCTCGCGGAGCTGGTTTGCCTTCTTTTGTGTCCTGGTTTGATTCCTTATGGCTTCCGTTCTGTTCCCCCTCTCAGCCTGGCCTGTTTTAGGAAACTCAGGCTGAGAGTATCAGTTGCGTGGTGGTAGTTGCATTGTTCCAATTACCGCCGTGTGTGGCCACATCCCAACAATTAAAATGCAGAAAAACACAAAATCACTCTCTTCACTTGATCCCAGAGAGGGCTGGGAGTTCGCTGTTTGGCCAAATGCCTCATGAAAAGCTTGAAAGAGTTTGCTTCACTCCCTGCTCTTCATGGCTGGTCAGCCTGAGGCCTGGGATCTCTGGGGTAAAAGCTTGCAATTAGGCTCCCTGTCTAGTTGATCTTTTGGGGGCAGAGTTAAGAAACGAAGAGGGAAGTGATATAAGCTTTAGCTTTTCCTACAAGAACATAGGGGAAGCCACTGAAGGGAGCTCTCAGGAAGCTGGAACTTTGTTCAGGGTGGTAATAATAATTATGCATGAAAATGATAGTTAACTGTAATGATGATTGACTTCTCCCACAGCTTCCAAAAAACTACAGATACATCTACATGTAGTTCTTTGCTCTTCCTTACCTACCTTTCTCTGAGGTGGGAATGTGGTAGAGATGATTCCCTCTTTTTGCAAAGTAGAAAGTGATCTGCCTCCAAGGTCATAGGAGAGCCGTTTTGGGCTTCCCTAGGTGTTCAGGTAAGGGAGGTTGGCATCCAGCCAAATAGATAAACCCAATTGCCTTCTTCATCTTAATGATACTATCACTTGTGGCATTCTTAGGCTGTGTAGAGCAACAAACAGGAGGGTTTGAGAAATAGCAGTCTATGTGGACTCCTGATTTGTATAGGCTGGATGGTATGCTTTTTCCATTTTGATATTTTGTGTTATAGTGTACCTGTGACAGATTAATAAGACAGATTTTTTTTTTCTGCCCATTTTACACATAGGTTAACTAAGGCCAAGAAAAGTAAAATTATCTCCCAGAACTGTCGTAACAAATTGGAGCAAGACTTAGATTTCTTGAATGTTTGTTGTTTCTACTAGAAAATGCTGCATACACTCTCTGATGAGCTGTCTGCCTGCTGGTCATTTCTGGGAATAGGCAGAACCATATGGAAACACTAGGTTATCCTCCCCTCCTCCATTGAGCAAGGTCCCTCAGGCGATTGTGTGGGCTTGAAGCCTGTTCTCTGATGGAATTAGTTTGCTTATACTGAAATTGACCATGAGAAGGAGTCTTGATTAATTGAATGCATGGTCTTTGAGTAAGATCAAGCTAAAAACTTAGTTGAATGAAGTCATACAGTTGTTATTTTTAACATGTATAGAGTAATGTAATTGGAAGAATCCTGGTACCATTTCTATCTTCTTACCATTTTGTAAGAGAATACATACAGTATGTGTTGGAAAACAACAATAAATCAAACATTCAAGCTAGGGGAGAACATAAAACCTTTTTCACTTTGGTCTGAATCAAAAAGTCATTCCTACAACCAGTGCCCCTCCCTGTTCCCTGTTACTATTTCTGTAGTTTAGGAAAAGGGTACTTCTCTGTTTCTGATTAGAAGATAAAATATTGGGGTAGTGAGGATGGAAGTAACCATTTGGGCTTCCCTTTTTCAAGTGAGCTGTTTTTAAGTGGTGTTGGTACACTAGGTAGACAAAGCATAGCATGAACCAGGTTAAGATTGGCAAATAGGTTTCAACTTGCTTGCTAACTCCAGTTCATTTTACTGGTTAACTGGAGTGCCAGGTTCAGGGTGTTTCTGAGGCTGTATTGAGGCTTAGCAGGAAAGAGCTATGATCAAATTAATGATGTCTGCCAGAGGCCTGGCATAGGGATGCTGTGGTATGTGTGCCATGCATTTTCCACCTTTGGGCCAGGTACATCTCTAATATCACTTGGGGCTGGTCCCTCTGTAATTGGCAGACTCAGCAGGCATGACTGGAGAGGGAAGTCCCAATGGTGCTAGAATGGTGCTGCAGTGGCAGAAGACGGCTCACGAGTGAGGTCTGGAAGAACGACAGGGAAGACATCCATCATTTGCTCCAAAGTGTGCAAGTCAAATCCTGGGGAGAATCATGATAACCCTGATCACTGAGCAGCTACAGAAGCAGACTCTGGATGAGCTGAAATGCACACGCTTCAGTATCAGTCTGGTAAAACACCAGTCTTCCTGCTTCTCTACAACCCCCTCCCCCTTTTTTCTGAGGCTGTTTGTTGCTACTACTTTACCCATGTCCTGTGCCGGATGAGTCATGGTACTTATACTGGAAGAGCCTACTAAAGACTCAAAACCCAGCCCAAAAGGAAGGGGGCAGGTATTCTTCCATTGATAGAGAAGGGACACCAAAACTTGGGTGGAGAAGGGTTTGAGATATTGGAAGATACAGATTATTTTACTTACTAACTTTGGGAAGACAAGAAGAAGAGAACATTTAGGAGTCCCTCACATCCCTATAGCCCATGAATTCCAGGGGTGAGCTCAAGAGGCCTTCCTGGAAATCTGTGTCCTAAACCTGAATCACAATGGATATTCT